AACTACACAGGTATTGTACACAGGTAAGTTGGGGAACTAGGGATCGAGCCCTGGGACCTACATCAGCTACTTCGAACTGGGGAATACCGTTTCACGAGCTCTTTCCTTTATGGAAAGTGCTTGCCCAGTTTGCTGTCTGGCTGGGCCTCGTGTGTTTCCAGTAGCTTCTGATCGGGCCAAAGTGTTTGCGCCCAGGCCCATTCAGACAGTGGCCTGGGACCGAATTGGTTAGGCATCCCCAACCACCCACGAATAAACGTGAGGCTCTCCCTGCTTCGCCTGTGCTGCTGGAAGAGCCTAGAAGGCTCATGAATGAATTCTGATTCTCACGAGTAAGGAGGATGTAACCAACTGGCGCATAGCAACTGTCTGGCGCCCACCAAACTTTGCCAAATTTGACGAACTCAGGCCATGTTGAAATTCAGGGGCCCGCCTTCACTTAGGCCGGGCTCCTGCTTGCTGAAAGGGCCCTGCAGGGGCATGCTGAGGAGCAAACTTGTAGCAAGGCCTCGTTGAAGAGCCATGCCTACATAGGGGTTCCAACAGGCTCTGCTTGGGCCCCTCAGCCTGGTCTCGTAGGCCTATAAACAGGCATTGGCACATATTTGCAGGCCCGCCTTCACTTATGCGGGCACAGGACTTTCAGACACTGCCGAGGGACTAAATCCTCGCACATATCTTAAGTGTTATCTTCCTGTTATCTTCCTGTTATCTTCCTGTTATCTTCCTGTTATCTTCCTGTTATCTTCGCGACAGAGTTATCTTCCTGTTTTCTTCGCGACAGTGTTATCTTCCTGCTGTCTGCCTGTTATCTGCCTGTTATCTGCCTGTTATCTGTCTGTTATCTGCCTGTTATCTGCCTGTTATCTGCCTGTTATCTGTCTGTTATCGTCCTGTTATCTTCCTGCTCTCTTCCTATTATCTGCCTGTTATCTGCCTGTTATATTCCTTTTTTCTTCCTGACAGTGTTGTCTTCCGGCTGCCTTCCTTTTATCTGCGTTTTATCTTCCTCTTATCTTCCTCTTATCTTCCTAAAAGTGTTATCTTCCTGCTGTCTCGCTGTTATCTTCCTGACAGTGTTATCTGCCTGTTATCTTCCTGTTGTGCCAGAAACAGCACAGATTTTGAACCTGCAGTTAGGAAGGAAAGTGGCAAGGTGGGTCAAGGGACGAAAAGGACAACATGAGCGCTTCTGCTGCTGCTGCTGCTGCTGATTTTGAGAGAGTGGCTGTGTAAGGAACGGGGCAGTTTGGATTGGTCCAACTGGTTCACTTTGTCTGATTGGTTTGATTGATTGATCGATTGGTCGATAGATTCTCTTTCTTTGAGACTGTGGAGAGCGTCATGGAAGAAAATGCAGCCGGCTCCACCGAAGGCACTACAGCTTTTGTCAGAGAAATGGGGAGCATGGTAAACAATCACGATCTCAACGAAATCAAACGGCTCCAAATGCAAATGTTAGTCGCACTCATTCATTCATCCAAAAGTGCTTCTTCTTCCTTCTATGTGTGATCCACTTCCTTGAATTCCCTCCCTTCCTCTCTCTTCCCTAAAGTGTAACGCATCTGCCCCCAACCTGCCCCCCCCCCTCCATCCCAACCTAGCCCACCCCACCCTACCCCTGCCATGCATAGGGAATATACACATGGGGGTTATAGTCCGCCACCTTTCTCAGGGGTACTGGGCAGCAAGGTGAGTCCTTATCCTTCAGTCAAATGCATCCCGGGCAGACTGTCTGTCTAGGTTCAACCTCCTGATGAGCCAGTGAAAGTCTGATGAAAGTCTGTTCGGCACAGTTTATGCCTTTTTTTTTTTTTTTTTTTTTTTT